ATATGGGGGCGGCCTCGGGCCAGTACCAAGTGATAAGGAGAATGACCGAATATAAATGACTTTGAACCAAGGGGAATAAACAAATTAGAGAAAGAGAAAGAGAAGATATTATTGCACTTGAGTAGGATCAATGGAGCTCTCGCTGTGCCCCCACAAAGAGTTAAAGATCCCGTTTATATAGGAGGAAAATTTCTTATAATACAAAACATGTTAGCCGTGAAAGTACAGAGATGGGATGGCTAGATATGACGCCTCGAAAATAGGCCTCAGAGAGGTCGGCCTTGTCAGGTCGAGTCGCGTGACTTGGGAACTTCCCCCTTGCTCGCTGCGGCCCGCTGCATTATTCGGAATGCTATACCCTTCAGATCAGCTCTAGACGAACCTTGGGGATGAGTCTCGACCTTGGCTCCGAGCTTTGAGAGGCATGACCGCAAGATGGCCTTGCGATGGGGAATTCGGGCCCCCGGGTTCGCCGCATATAGATAGTCTGTGTGTTTCTTAGAGTGAAGGTGACGAGAAGCGATGAAAAACGATTCTGATCTCCTGTTTCCTTTGGCGTTCCTGATAATGGTTGCAGCTGTCAAGGCGTGCTATGTGCGCAGTTACTGTGGATTCGAGCATTGACTGCTGTGGTTGGCTTCCTTTAATGTACCCACGATGCTCTTGCAAATATTTGCTTCTTCCCTTTCGGATCCTATTCAGAACCTTTTAGTGAAGTCTGTTTTCCCTTTGCTTCTTGCTTTACTTTTAGGAGCGTGACCCTCCCCTATTTTCTTCTACTCTTGGACTTTCTCAAGGATCGCGAATATTTCCACCGCTGCTTCTCAAGAGGTCGCGGGCTTGTCTTCTTCGGTTTTGTCCCAAGGCGAAGTAGCAGCTCCACCCCGTGTCGAGGAGTGTATCCCCGGTCCTTTTGCGATGACTTTAGATTTTAGGGCCGAGAGACCCTCTTCGAAGTCAGGACACCGTGAACCAGTAACTCGATATATTAGTTCTATAACGGATATCGGGAGAGTGAGGGCCGATTGTTGCTGGAGGGGATGTCGTGCTTGTGGAGATTCCTGCTTAGGATGAAGACATTACGGCTCATAGAGCCGGCTTTCTAAGCGTGTATACCTACCTATTTACTTTAGGACCGGCAAGACCGTCTTCGCCCCTGATAGACCCTACGGTTCTCGATTACTACCGGAGTTATAAGGTGAATCTAGGTTAGATCCATCCTTCGTTCTGGCATGTGGTTTATATGATCAGGCATTATTCGAGCATGATAGATGGAATGCCCTTTACTCTGAATCATTTGATCCAGATGTATAGCCCTCGTCTCCTTCTCGGGGGCTTAATCAAGCTTTGTTGTCAAGCCCCGAGATCCATTTTCGCCTGTACCGAGGAATTTGGGGACGATGGGTGGCTGAGTCAGTTTGTCCGAGTGAGGATGCCTGATCTGATCCCAATGGAAGGGATGCCGTTCCCTGAAAAGTGGAACGCCGCGCGTAAGTGAATGCGGAGCCTTCGCTTCTCTTTGATGATTTCTCCTTACATCCCTGACTCTGTTGTTTCTTCTTTGTCTTTTCAGCCGCATCGGTCTACCCTGGAGCGGTGCAGGATTTGCAGGGTTGGGTTGGCCTTTTATACTCGATCTGTCCGTATAATGATCGTGCGTGGTGGGATTTATCCCGAACCCGGTGGGAAGCAAAAGATCATGGTAAGTTTTGAGTTTTGACGTATCACGCATTTTAGCGCAGCTTGCTTCCAGCGACTCTTTCCTTTCTGTGCATTTGATCCCCGCATCTATGTAGGTCTGGGAGGAGTCCTACTGACGAGGGAGGTGCGACCCATTGGAGGGGATATCCCGGTGCTTGACGAGGAGAAGAAAAGGCAAAGGGGCGCATCGATTGAGCCACCGAAGCTCAAAAGGACCAAGGTGGAGGAGTCCAAGGTTAATTCATCAGTTCCGACTTCTGGCGTAGCAGGAAATCCTTGTGCTGAAGGTGAGGAAGAAAGCAGTTTTTTGGCACCCTCCGAAGATCGTTTGGGATTGATTGCTCCTTGGGCTGAGGGAATAAATGCTTCCGGACAGGATTCCGACACTGGCACAACCTGTCTTTATGGTGGCGAGGCAACGGATGGGATATCGAGTACAGGTTTTGACTCGGCAGGTGGCCGGAGCCCTTCTCGAACCGGGACACCCTTAGCAGGCGATCTAAAGGAGCCTCTATCGGGGGCCTGAGATGAACGAGGGGTGGACATTCTGGCCGACCCTGTTGTCCCTTTGGTTATTGTTGATTCCTCAAAAGGGGGAACACTTCCATCTTTTGTAAGGCGAGACGAGCTTTGTAAGGATATTTCCAATGCGGGAGCACTAATCGAAGGTGGAGATGCACTCAGGAGGCCGACGATCACTCTTAAGGGTAGCTTCGAGATCAACGCTTCCTCTATTTTAGGCGAGTTGGGCAAGATTTGTGAGCGGGTAACTTCATCCATCCTCATTTGTTGCTTCGGGCTACTCCGATATTCATTCCCTTAACTTTTTTATGTGATTTCAGGACGAAATGCTTTATAATCAAGCCCTCACCCAGTATCAGGATGAGGTGAGCCGTCACAAACATGAGAAAGCTCTTTTAACCGAACAGGTTATTCATCCCCTGTTCTCATTATTGTTTGAGCTTCGGTGGGATTCTATTGTTTTTAACCCCTTTGGCCCTGATTCATGCAGTTTGAGAAGGAGAAACTTTCACTGAGAGGGGAGCTTCGGGCCAAGGATGCTGAAATCTTTGAGCTTGGTCGCCATGTGGATGAGGTGGTTTCTGAAAGGGATAGCCTTAGGAGGAGAGTCACCTCGATTGAGCGTCAGCTTAAGGATGCGATGGAGGATAGTGGCAAGTACAAGAGTCTTCGTTCCAGGCTAGTGGCCGCACTGCTTTGAATCAGAGCCGAGGTGCTTGTATCCTTACTCGGGGAAGGAGTGGTCGCTGAAGATTCTTGTGTTGAGAGGACCTTTGAGGGGGCAGACCTAGCTTTACCTCAAGCTGTGGACCACGTTCGGCCATACCTTCGAAGGTTAACCATCAATGGCACATTGGAAGGCAACTCAAGTGATGTTAAAAATGAGGGTGGATCTCCAGAGAGAGGGGATGCCGTCGAGAAGGGACTGTCAGGGGATTCCTAAATGCCTAGATACAACCTTTGAGGCAGCCGATTTGACAATAGGTTTAGGCTATGTTGGTTTTCCCGTTGATATCCTTGTCTGTATGTGGTGCTTTTGTTTTGGCATATGTGTAAGGAGAAATCCAGTGGCTTTGTTCCCCTTATTAGGAAAGAACTTTGAACTCGCAGTGTAGCTTTGTGGCCCATTTAGGCTGGTTGATATGGCATCTCTGTCATGCCCTTAGGCATTTTGCAGTTTAACTACTCTGGGTCCAGTCTCTGAGTCGCGTTGCTATTCAAGCTGTAATCGACCCTTAAATTTTCATGATTCTCTGGCCGGCGATAGTGGCATTTATACCGTGCCCTTAGGCATATTACAATTTTTGGGTCCAGTCCCCGAGTCGCGTTGCAATTCGAGCTGTAATCGACCCTTATATTTCCATAAGTTTCTGGTTGGCGCCAGTGGCACTTATGCCTTCTAGTCGTTGAGACCTTTTAGTATGTGGCCCAGAGGCTTACATAGTTAACTATTTTGGATCCGGTCTCCGAATAGGGTTACGATTCGAGCTCATTTTAATCCTCAAGTTGTCAATTTTCAAGCTGGCGACAATGGCGCTTACGCTGTTTGGTCGTAGAGACCTTTCAATATGAGGCCCCTAGGCTTTCTTAGTTGGTGATAATGACTCTTACGCTTCTTTTGCCCATTGGCTTTTTGTAGGCTTTGTTTCCGCTCGTTAAGGTCTTTTTATAGTATTTTTGCCTGACCCGTCGTCTGTTCCAGAGGAACCTCGATTTTAAGTTGTTGTCGGCGATGTATTGAGCACCTCGTAAGGTTCGTAGCTCGTAGGTCAAGTAGATTGAAGCTCTTACGATTTGGAGCCGACATGGTCGGAGCTCGTTTTTGCCTGTTGAGGGAAACCTGTTTTAACCGGTTCCTTCCAAAGTATATTCAGAGTAGTGGCCAGTGATTTTAGCGACAGTCGGTCATCCCCGAGTCGTGTTATTTTTGGCTGTATCAGCCATTTTGACCGTAGTCATATGCGTTTGGCCGTAGCCATTTTTGATCCCTAGTGATAGTTTAGGCGTCTACATCGAGGGTATGCCCTTTAGGGATTCTTAGAAATGCGATGTATAACCTAAACTTCGGAATTTTTCATGCATGTTGAGGTCTTACAGTTTGTCATACCTATTGAGGTCTTATAGTTTGTCATGCCTATTGAGGTCTTACAACTCGTAGAATAGATCTGGTTATGACTAGTCTGCCCACTAGGGTCTTACAGTTTCAGATTTTCCAGTGTATGGCGATTGGCGACAGTTTGCGAGTCATCGAGTTTGTTTAAGCTTGAATACCACTTCTCGTGAACTTGGAGTTGCATTGTGAGGGCTTTGTGAGCCCGGAGTTCCGACCCTGGGATCATATGGGCGCTGAATCGTTTAAGTCTCCGAGTATCTCGGGACGTATTTGGCAGAGAGGCCTTCACCGTGAATATGCCGAAATAGTTTTTTTCGAAGTATGAAATGCCGAAAAGATATTCTTTATTGCTTGGCGTAGATATAGGCCGTGAATACATATTGTCTTGTTGCTGCGAGCTCGGCCCGCATGGGTACACCCCCTCGGGTTGCTTGGCCCGGTGTGTTGCCTCCTGGGAGTCTCGTTCGTCATTTTTCCAAAGCTGGGATGGTTGCAAAGGAAATCATGTAGGCCCCCTTTGAATTATTTTTTAAGGAGTGTGCGGGTGTTGCCTTGTTAAAAAATCCTATCGGCAAGGAACCTGTTTCAGGATAAAAGCCCGATTGCGGGAAAAAGAGTGCAATGCTTGCTCGAGGGCTCCCGTGGGGTTTCATGATCGGATGCCCTAATAGTAATACCGCTTGAGCATCGACACATTCCAGTTGCTCGGGAGCTGCTCGCCTTCCATGGTGCCAAGCTTATAGGAGCCTTTGCTAACTATCCCGAGGACATCGTACGACCCTTCCCAATTCTGGCCTAGTTTCCCTTCATTGAGGTTTCGGGTGTTGAGAGTAACCTTTCTTAGGACCAAATCTCCGATTTCAAAATATCGGAGGTTCGTTCTCATGTTGTAGTATCTTTCGATTTTCTGCTTTTGGGCGGCCATCCGAACCAGTGAGGCCTCCAGTCTTTCATCGAGCAGCTCAAGGGCCATTGCCATGGCCTCGTGATTTGACTCTTCACTGGCGTGCCAGAATCTGGAGCTTGGTTCCCCGACCTCTACTGGTATTAGTGCTTCAGCACCATATACTAGAAAGAAAGGTGTCTTCTCTGTGCTTGATTTTGGAGTCGTCCAATATGCCCACAGTACCTCAGGCAGCGTTTCTCGCCATTTTCCCTTGGCACTTTCTAATTTCTTCTTCAGGTTTTGAATGATGGTTTTATTTGTGTATTCGGCCTGGCCATTCTCACACGGATGGTATGGCGTTGGAAGGATCCTTTTGATTTTGTTGTCCTTAAGGAACTGTGTTACCTTGCTCCCAATGAATTGCCTCCCGTTGTCGCATGTTATTTCGGATGGGATCCCGAACCGGCACATGACATGTTCCCATATAAAGTTGATGACTTCCTTTTCTCTTATTTTTTTGAAGGCATGAGTTTCCACCCATTTCGAAAAGTAATCAGTCATAAATAGAATGAATCTAGCTTTACCTAGTGCCGTTGGCAAAGGGCCAACGATGTCCATTCCTCATTTCATAAATGGCCATGGTGATAAAAAGGAATGTAGCTGTTCGCCGGGTTGGTAAATCTTGGGGGAGAATCTTTGACACTTGTCATCTTCGGATGAACTCCTTGGCGTCACTTTCCATGCTATTCCAGTAGTAGCCTGCTCTGATTTCCTTTCGGACTAGGGCGTCTGCCCCAGATCCGCAGGTGCCCTTGTGGATCTCTCGGAGCACATAATCTGTGTTGCCTGGTCCTAGGCATACTGCTAGGGGGCCATCAAACGTTCTCCTATACAGGGGCCCGTTTTCGTCAAGAGAGAACCGGGCCGCTCTGGTTCGCAAGGCCCTTGATTCTTTCGAATCGGCGGGAGGTTTCCCGTCCTTCAGATAAACAATGTATTTATTTCTCCAACCCCATGTCAGGCTGGTGGAGTTGATTTCCGAGTGACCTTCCTCGACCACGGACCTGATTAATTGGAAAATAGCCCCGGGGAGCAGGTCTTCCTCCTCAGCAGACGATCCCAGGTTTGCCAGGGCATCGGCCTCACTGTTCTACTCTCGGGGTACATGGACTAAGGTCCATTACTTGAAGCGGTGGAATGTGACTTGGATCTTATCCAAATACCTCTGCATCCTGTCTTCCCGGGCTTCGTAGCTCCCATTTACCTCACTTACCATGAGGAGCGAATCACATTTCGCCTCGATGACCTGGGCCCCCAAGCCCTTGGCCAACTCCAAACCTGCAATCATAGACTCATACTCGGCTTCGTTGTTACTTAGGTTTGCAGTTTTTATGGACTGTCGGATTATGCCGCTGATGGGCGGCTTTACGACTATACCGAGTCCGGATCCTCTAACGTTTGTGGCACCATCCGTGAACAGGGTCCATACCCCGAAGGACGTGCCTGATTTTAGTAAAAGTTCCTTCTCTACCTCGGGGTGGAGGGATGGCGAAAAATTGGCCACGAAGTTCGCCAGGATTTGGGATTTAATGGCCGTCCGAGGTTGATACTCGATATCATAGCCTCCAAGTTCAATGGCCCATTTAGCTAGTTGACCCGACAACTCAGGTTTGTGCAGTACGCTCCGGAGAGGACAAGTCGATAGGATGCAAATGCGGTGGAATTGAAAGTAAGGCTTCAGCTTGCGTGATGTACTATAGTGCGAGTGCCAATTTTTTTAGGTGGGGGTATCGGGTTTCAGCATCCCCCAAGGTTTGATTTACGTAATATATAGGAAATTGCATACCTTGCTCTTCTAGGGCTAATTCACTGCTCACCGCTATTTTGGACACGACCAGGTACAAGTATATCGTTCCATCCTCCTTGTGTGTGTGCAGCAAAGGCGGGCTAGACAGGTACCGTTTCAGTTCTTCCAAGGCATGTTGGCATTTCGAAGTTCATTCGAAGTTGCTCTTTCTTTTAAGTAGGGCGAATATGTGGTGGCTTTTGTCTGACAACCTTAATATGAATCTGCCCAGGGCCGCAATCCTCCAGTCAGCCGTTGGATGGCTTTCACGTTGTTCACCACTGTGATTTCTTCGATGGCCCTTATTTTGTCGCGGTTGATCTCGATCCCCCTGTTTGAGACCATGAAGCCCAGGAATTTGCCCGAGCCTACTCCGAAGGCACACTTTTCGGGATTGAGCTTCATGTTGTAGCTTCTGAGGATGTTGAAAGTTTCCTGTAAATGGGTCAGATGGTCCTCTGAGCGTAGGGATTTAACTAGCATATCATCAATGTATACCTCCATCGATTTACCTATTTGATGCTCGAACATTTTATTAACTAAGCGTTGGTATGTCACTCCTGCGTTTTTTAGCCCAAAGGGCATCACGTTATAGCAATATGTACCATATTTCATGATGAACGAGGTCTTTTCCCTATCCTCGGGGTTCATCTGGATCTGATTATACCCCGAGTAGGTATCGAGGAATGTTAGGGTCTTGTGGCCAGTCGTGGCATCGATCAGACGATCGATATTAGGCAGCGGGAAGGAATCGTTGGGGCATGCTTTATTTAAGTCTTTATAATCTACGCACATTCTTAGCTTATTCCCCTTTTTTGGTACTACCACTACGTTATTTGGGATACTTTACCTCCCTAATAGATCCGATTTTAAGAAGTTTCACTACCTCCTCTTTGATGAAGGCGTGCTTTACCTCGGACTGCGGTCTCCTCTTCTGATTTACGGGTTTTAATTTGGGATTGACGCTCAGCCGATGGGAGGTTATTTCCGGTGGGATACATNGAGGGGGGTGAAGAAATATTCCTCGTCGTCTCCCAGAGCCTGCATGCTTCTCTCCTCATTTGAGGCCGAGTGTATGGGGGTTGACGTCTCCTGGTGGACCGCAAACATTTCCCTTGCTGCCCGCTGTTCTCCATGTATTATTGTGATTCCATTCCTTGTGGGGAACCTTATTACCTGGTGCAAGGTCGAGGGCACTGCCCTTATATTGTGTATCCAAGGCCTGCTAAGTAAGGCGTTATACCTCATGTTGCCGTCGATGACCTGAAACTCAGTGCTCTGGGTTGTTCTAGACGTGTTGATCGGGAGGGTGATTTCTTCTTTCATCTCTTCTCCGACCATGTTGAAAACATGGAGGACTAGAGGGATGGGGACAACTTGATTGTGCAACCCCAGCTGTTCTACTACTTCTGACCTGATTATGTTAGCCGAACTGCCCGGGTTCACAAGCATGCGCTTTATCCTTGTGTTGTTTAAGAGAAACGAGATCACCGGCGCATCGTTGTGCGGTTCCCCAATGGCCTCAAGGTCTTCTTCGGCGAATATGAGGGTTTTTTTGGATAAGCGTTTTTAGGCTGGTCCCTTTTCTGTAGCGGATGTTTTTGTTCATTTGGATATGGGTCCTTATCGATCATTAGTTCCTCCGATAATCATGTGGACACTATGCTAGGGGCCCCTCCATTTCGCTCGGTTTAAACCCGAGGGCGCACCGGACTCTGGGTTGGTCGTGTCCACTTCCTTGTCGCTTTTGAGATCTCGGTTTCCCATCTCACTAGCTGAGCCGGGCGTCCTGCCCTAAAAGCGAAGATCTTGGGCAAGAAGAAGTGTGAAAGATAACTTGCATTTTTGTAAAGAAACCAGCAAGAAAATAATCACTATTATTTTTAGCCCCACGGTGGGTGCCAAACTGTTTACCGTGAAAATGGTAACAATAATTAAATTTGTAAATGGGATTCTAAAAATACGTGATCTATTCCCGAGCTAGTTATTAAAGAAGTTAATGCTAAGAACATGAAGTATAATGATAAAATGCGAGCTAAGATGAAGCAGTAATCAAACCAAAGAGGCCTGTTATTCGAGTGCAGTGATGGTCGATAGGACCTCGGGGTCAGCGTTGATATCGATCTCGAACTACCGGGGATAATCGGGGATGGGATAACAATTAAAGGTATAATTAAATAGGGCTCTTTCTACCAACATTAAGCTATAGAATGAAGAACAAGTTAAGAAGCAATGAATATGGGGGCGGCCTCGGGCCAGTACCAAGTGGTAAGGAGAATGACCGAAGATAAATGACTTTGAACCAAGGGAAATAAGCAAATTAGAGAAGAGAGAGAGAAGATATTATTGCACTTGAGTAGGATGAATGGAGCTCTTGCCGTGCCCCCACAAAGAGTTGGGGATCCCCTTTATATAGGAGGGAAATTTCTTGTAATACAAAACATGTTAGCTGTGAAAGTACAGAGATAGGATGGCTCGATATGACGCCTCAAAAATAGGCCTTAGATAGGCCGGCCTTGTCAGGTCAAGTCGTGTGACTTGGGAACTTACCCCTTTTTCGCTGCGGCCCGCTGCATTAGTCAGAATGCTATACCCTTCGGATCAGCTCTAGACGAACCTTGGGGATGAGTCTCGACCTTGGCTCCGAGCTTCGAGGGATATGACCACGAGATGGCCTTGCGATGGGGAATTTGGGCCCCCAGATTCACCGCATACAACTCATAATCGATTCATTTACATGCAAAGATGAAAATTGGAGAAGGCACAAAACCCGCAACCCAGTAGCTTAATTTGCAAAACCCACAACCGCCTCCCCCCACATTAAATTTTCCAAAGGCAAAATACATAAGTAGCCACCTGAACTATACACCAAATCCCTGTTACACACTTTCTCAGGACGAATATCAATTTACACACGCAACCTTTCAAAATTGTGTCGACTACACACTACTTTTGCCAGATGGCACGTGTGTGTTTAACAAAAGACACTGAGCGCGTAAAACCTATGCATTATCTGTCCAAATCCTTATATATGCACACGTGTCCAAATCTTATTTGTTCTCCTTATTTTTCTTAAATTATTAGTTAAAAGAAAAGATAAAGATGTCCAGGTCTTCTTCCCCATTTGGAGCCCCCCTACCGTCTTGGGCATTCGGCGACAACCACAACACCATTTTCTCTCCCACGCCTCCCATCTCCTCTCCTTTTCATCTCTTTTAAGTAGATCTCGATCATAACTCATAATGCTGGCGGCGACCTCAAGCAACGCCGAGACCTCTGTTGCCAGGTTGTTACTTTCACTGTCAGTTCATGGCCGACGAGGTCAGATTTTCTCCGACGGGGTAAAGCTCTCAGATCTTTCCGACAAATTGGTGGTTCTTCGTTCAGATCTGGTCTCGTTTTGTTAAAATTGCAAACGATGGCGACCTCTATTTTCCGGTCATTGTTACAGTGGAAATACCCATTGGTAAAAATGGTATTTCTATAGCAAACAAAACCTAGAAACCCAAAAACGGTAATAAATTTTTAGAGTAAGGAGAAATAGTGGTAAATAAGAACAAAGATGATGAAGAAAGTGGGTCTTCATATAAAGAGAAGAATTGAAGTATGGTGTGGTGCCTCTGGTTCTTTCTGGAAGAGAAATAGACTATGAAAGAGAAATTGGTCAACAGAAATTTAAGCATTTTTTATTTAAA